TCTCTTAAGATCTAGTTTAGAGTCTGCTCACCTCTACTTTCACCAAAGGGCATCATACCCAACTGCAGATATGATCCATACAAATGATTCACGTGAATGGTGCAAGACATCGGGTTACTATGCTGATCCTCACCTGTGGCTAGAAGCTTATGATTTCAGACCTGGCCTGACTCCTACAGATTCCAATAATACTATAGAATTTCCTCCAGCAGGTTTGCCAGACCTTTTTTCTCTACTTGGGAAGGCAGCTCGGGACATATTGGATGCAATTAGCTTCTATTTGAACTTGCGTAGCTCTCCATTCACTGAGATACTTGATAATGTTCCTCTGAGAAATAGGGAAGTATCATCATCCGTATTGTCTGTTTGCTGTCATGCCAGGCCATCCTTTCAGGGGGCACAACACCATAATTTAACAGCCCAAGAGGATGGCCAACTAGTCATGTATGCTGACCAGGAGCACCAGGTTGACAAAAGCCTGATATCTCTCGTGAAATCAGATAAGGCAGGCCTGCATATTAGAGACCTTCATGGTCGCTGGGTTCTTGTTGATGGAGACCTTGGTCCACAAGAAGTTGTGATATACCCTGGACTTGCACTATACCAGGCAACTGCAGGCTATGTCAATCCTGCACTTCATAGAACTGAGGTCACTAACATGCAGAATAATATGTATGGACGATTTTCTTTGTCATTTAAACTCATGCCTAAATCAATGACAAGTCTCAGCTGCTCAGAGATGAGAGCAGCAGGTCATGGGGTTGAAGCTCAATTCCAGCTTCCAGTACCAGTTGATGACTTCATGCAGAGATCACACCCCACCGATCAGCTCTTCAACAGGCAAGGTTTCCAAAGTTTCAATTTCCCTGCCAGCCAAGATGGTAAGAAGCATATCAGTATGCTCATCTTTTAGCTTCTTAATTAGCAATGCTACATTATCTTGTTTTTTCCTTTCCTTCTTCAGAGAATTGGTTCATCTTTCTAACAACAACATTGGCTGTCTCTTGTTTTCTTTCTGAGATAGATTAGTTAGTTCGTGCTCATATATGTGCTTCATTTTGCCTATTTGGTATCATTGTTCGTAAAACAATAACAATAGCAACAACGAACAAATTTAATGGTTCTTATGAGCCCTTTTCTTTATTCCACTCTTCCAGCATAATGGGTTTGTTCTATTTTATCACTTAAATTCATGACCTCAGTTATCTGGCTTTTCATACAGCCCTTTAAAAGTATCCTACAAAATTTGATCTTTGTCAACTTCAATCCCCACCACCCCCCACCCACCCCTTCCCCCAAAAAATCTTAAACACTAATTTAATGGAATGTAAACTACTATATTTGGTGAGAAACCCATCTTCCAATATCTCCTTGGAATGACTGTCTGATTGAAGGCTCACAATTTTTGGGTCGCATCACCTAACATTTGCGATAAATTCATCATACATTTGAAAATTGAACAGATCAATTGTTTGGTCATTTCAGATACTGTGTAATGGGATTTTTATTGATCTATGAACCTTCGTTGCTTCTGCTACTTGACAAAGTGACTAGGAAATATATTTAGGGCCCATTTAGAGTGGCTCTATTTATGAAGCGTTAGTTAGTGCTCCTGTAGTTTTAAGCTCAATTGGTGTTTGGTTAGTTGAACATTTTATGCAACTTTAAGTTTAAAATAAGGTGTCAAATGCTTGGTAAAAATTGTGCTTAAAGCTGAGAAGTTGGTAAATGATAACGTGGGAGAATTCAAGTAGAAAAGATAATTACTAGAGAACATATTAGATGTTAAGAGGTTTCTTTTCTTTTTTCGTTTTGTCCAAAAGAGATAGTCAACAAAGTTTTTGGCCGCTTTCCTCCAAATGAGAAAAAAAGAAAAAAGAGTTTTAGAACAGACCAGTTTAAAGCTGAAAATAAGGTAGTCTTAACCAGATTTTTAGAACTTATAATTGTATAGTTCTTAGGGACTTTGGAGGCTATCCAAATAATATTTCTCTTATCCTTTTCTTTTAACTCAAAACCAAATATAAACTAAGTTGATTGAAAAGAAAAGCCATTGAAGTACCCTCTTTAAACATACGTTTCACTCTATTAGTTTTATTTTCAGTTTAGTTATAGAAGAGAAGCAAATAATTTGTGTGGAAAGTATGGATGGTGATGACAGTAATTTTCTCGATGGTAGATGATGATGACAGTAATTTTCTTGATAGTAGATGATAATAATACTACTACTAATGTTAATAATGTAGTGTTAAGATTGTCACAACATTGGTTGGGTATCTTTGAATGGGATTATCATTTTTTTTTTCTTTTATCAAACAAATATTTATATCCATCATTTTCAAGACTTAAATTGATACTAGACTGGGGGTCTGGTTTTTTTATTGTCCTCATCTATATATGTAATAGAATGGAGTACTAGAATTTGCCCAGAGCATATATAAAGATGGACTTTATTTCTTGTATGATACGAAATAAATTTGAAATATTTCTTGGAGAGGGAACAAAGAAGCTTTTTTTTTTTAAGATTACTCTGGATGTTGAAGAAAGACCAAACTTCAAACAAATAGTGAATGAGTTTAGGTCCTGTGTCAAAAGAAGTACGATTCCAAATATATTAAACCTGGAAACTTTTTTTTGTATTTAATTTTGTTCAACTGTGTTAATGTTGGAACATCATTGTTTCTTTTTTCATGCAACTAGCCTTAGTGTGAAGTTTTTAACAGCAGGTCCTTGGATCGATGAAATGCTGGTACAGGATCTTTGAAGCCCTTGACGAGGAGGAGGAAGAATAGCTCAAGATGCAAGCCTCTACCTCCTTCAAAGAGGTTACGGCTCGAGGCCCAGCGAGTTCTCAAGGAAAGGGTTCAGGATATTGCAGATAAGAAGGGGATCAAACTTAAATTCTGTAACCTGAAGGAGTGTGAGAGTCACATTCATGCGCTAGATAGCCCATGTGCCAATATAAGAATGGAGATTGGGTGGCCACATGGAGTGCCATTTGTACATCCTCATGATCTTCCTAATAAAGCAAAAATTGGTTTCCTTGAAGCATATGAGCCTGGTTGGACAGCAACTCATGATATGGAGTTAAGTCTAACTGAACCTAGACAGGCCAGCCAACACTCGGCCGAATATAATTGCAAAAGCCTTTAAGTATCTATCTATATGATCATGCACCTTATCTACCTGACAATACATGTTATGTCAAGTCTGGAGTTATATTGATGTTCTGAATCTCTTCTGGTCATTAATGTGCATCTTGTCGTATCAGTCTAAATTGTTAACAA